ATATATATATATATATATAGAGCTCAATTGCCCCTTATCTTTCCTCTAATCACCGCATATATAGGATAAATGCTTAAATAAATTTCTCTCCAAAATATTCGTCTTTTTAATTCATTCACTCATTACTGTTGTTGCTAAGATAGCCCGGTGTGTTACTACTGTTGCTGTGAACGGAGTATATCCCGTTCAACTTGTCACTAATGTTACGAATTAGAATATTATTCGTTCCTTGATTATTGTTATTGTTGTGTCGAATATATTCTCTGTTCTGCCGTTGTCACTGTTAGTCACACAGTAATCCCCTCGTCAGAAATAACACAATCCAATCCAAACCAATTCAACCTAATTCCCTAATTCACCTCATTCAAATCAAACCAACAAATCAAGTCATTCGTTTTCTTTTTTTTCGTCGACAGGATTAGTCTTTATTCATTGAAAATCTAAATCGAAAAATGAACAAAGAAATCGAAAAATCGAACAAAAAATAATGAAGAGTACCTTGTTGTAGCGTCGAAAAAACACCCCAAGTGAACTTTTTTGATTGCGTTGATGAAAACGTTCGCACACCGAGTAGATTCTTATCGTTGATTGCTGACTAAATAATTCGGGCTCAATGACCTTAAGATAACAATATTTTTCGTATTTTCAAATGTTCCATCACTGATAATGATCTGCAACTATTCCCTTTCCAATCGCACGCGAAANTTTTTATCGTCTAAGAATTATCTTCTCGTTGTAAAATTTGATTTCTTATGCAGTTCTTCCAACATCAAAGATTTTGAGGGTTTTTTCTTCGGAACTTGTCGAAAATCAATAACACATGATTCGGAGAAACCTAAAACTCGAAAAGAAGATGTTCACCTCTCCAAGTGTTGACATCGTTAGATTGAAAATTGATCCAGGCGCCAAATTTCTGAGAGTATGCTCGGGAGGCTTGCCAGGTTCATTGAACGTAGTCACTGATACCTCCTTCTCGGAACCGTCGACAGAGTAGATAGTTTTGGCACGAATCTGAAGGAAAAATTGATCAATATTCATTGCGAATGCACGTCATTGCAGTTGTCCATCGCAAATGTTTCTGCTACTGAAACAGATTAATGCAAGTTCATAATAATCTTGACGTGTGCCTTTAAGGTACTGAAAAACATGAATGTTTCGACTGCATACCGGTCAGAATCGTACGAGAAAATTACAGTTAGATATGAGAACATTGAAGTAGAACATATGAGAAGCTGAATGTTATGCAAAAAACAGCTGAACAGTTAAATAAGTGTTGCTCACGAACTGTATAAGGGACACTCGATGAAGAAAGCCAAGAGACGGGCCACTTCAACGTCAACGAATTAGGTGTCCTCGATGTGAGCCGTAAAATGAATTGCTCATGCTTTCCCAGCGTCGAAAATGCTGCCCATCCCACTGAACCATAGCCAAAATCGGTACCAGCCTGAAATACTACTGTTAAAATATTTTTTTCTCCTCGAAAATATCATGTTATTGGACCGTAAAGTATCACTTTGAAATGATATGAAATTGCAGATCAAAACAGAACCTGAATAGTAACGTTATAGACAGTTCGAGGAGACAATCCTTCGATTCGAATCCGAGTGTTCGGAAACCTAACTGTCAAACGTCGCCTTTGGATCGAGATCTTCGTTGCTTCATTGAATTCAAATGCGATTACCTATTAAATGCCACAAAAGAACGTTTAATTCAGCGAATNAAGCTCGAAATATTTAGTGAATCACATTGACTGATTACGGAAATCGTGACAGCCGCATAAATATTGTCAACGCTCACATCGACAACATTGATAAGGATGCTAATAATAATAATGATAAAAATGATGGTTAAAGAAATTAGCACGCAGTGATACAAATGGTAATGGTGCCTAACGGTGATTAGCACTCAGAAGAGTAACGGTGCGAACAATGATCAGTAATAAAAGTATCAAGACTGCTCATGGAATACCCCGTTGCTCGCAATGAAAGGTCACAAACTTGTGTGACATCAAACATCTGATGATATTCACTGGGATAGAGCACTGAAGTATTTTAGAACGACCACGATAATTTTTAATGACGAATACTTGACGATAGTTCATTGTGACAGTGGAACTGAGCTTACAAGGTGTTGATTGACCATCGCTTGTTTACTCGCAGATGCAACGATCGGAGTTACCCAGGTAAGTTCTAGGGCATCTGATGCCTTATCAGTTAGAAAAATATCCGTTGGAGCAGGTAACCAATCCAAAGCTGTAAAATGATGGACATTTACCAGAATTCGTAATGATTCAGAGAGGGAAGTCTCTGCCTGAATTGAATATTTGACAAATCCTTATAAAAACGATGGAGAGAAGTGAGTCGTGCCAACCTGCCAGCGATGTTGATATCAGTGTACTCGTATAGAACACACTCACTTTATCGGAAAACCCTTCAACACTTACACGATATGTTGTGTTCCCAATCAATCCCTCAAATTTATATGAAGTGACATTCGGTTGCACAATCACTGCTAGTGATGATTTGCTGCTAATTCCTGAAATATCATTCAAAAACCCTTCAAGGCTCAGCTGAAAACCTATTTGATCACAAGATATGCACAAGGTAAATGGACAGTAGTGTCAGTGGATCACGATATCATGGATATCGTGATCCACTGATATGTTTGAAAGCTGATAGTTTTGATCATGGATAATAGTTTGTATCATGGATAATAGTTTTGAAAAAAAGCTCGATTTTTTTGCAAG